TAAGCCAGTCTGAGAAGGACAAACACCAGATGATTTCACTCATATGTGGAATATAAACAAATACAGGGACAAAGAAAACAGTTCAGTGATTACCAGAGGAAGGGGGTGGGCACAAGGGATGAAGGGGAGCACTTGTGTGGTGACAGTCAAGAAATAATGTACAACTAAAATCTCACATTGATGTAAACTATTAGAAACTCAATAACAAACATAGTAGGTTGGGGCGGAAAGGGAAAGTAGTTTATTGCTTACAAAAAGATAAAATAGCAAATCTGTTTTTGTATTCTTCTTCAAGATCTCATTTTGAAAAACCTATTATTTATTTTTGATAAATAGTTGTTATTTATTGAGTGAAAAGCTGATATGGCATTACAATGTTTTTTTAATGAAGACATGTAGTATCTCAATGGGCTGGACCATGGTAATCAATTCAGTAAATATTTATTTACGTTCTACTATATGCAAGGCACTGGATTAAGTGTTATAGAGACACAGGCATGAACCATTTATTAATTCTGCCTCTTAAGGGGTTTATTCTTTCTAGGAGAAAGAAGGCATATAAATAAATAGCTAACTATGATAAGTTGGTGCCACAAAAGAGGTACTGATAAATGTATAAAGGATCCACAAAAGGAAAATATTTTTCTTCCTGGATAAGGAATCAGGGAGAAATAACAGTAGATAGTATAATAGTGGTATATCCTTATGCTCCTCAGGGGAAAGATAATAAATTACAAAATTCAACTTTTCATTGTTAAAAGAAAGCTGGTTTGTAACTTAGAATGACTGTCCAATTGGCTGACTAGTATCATTGTGGAGAGTGCAATAATAAAGGATTTCCCTTTTAAAGATATGGTTTATTGTCTGCAAAATACATCAGTTTAGTTATCTTGTAAAGTATAGAGTCAATTAGGTAGATTATAAACTATTCATAGCAACTATGGCAGATTAAACATGGCCACAGACACTTTGCAGCTACTCCTATCCAGAGGGGGAGTCTATTTCTCCACTTCCTCAGATCTCGGCAGGCCTTTTGACTTGTTTTGACCAAAAGAATGAAGGAATTAAAGCTTTTGCAATTTCCAAAGCCTAGGCTTCAAGAGGCCTTACAGCTTGTGTGTTTGCGTCTTTGAATACTACCTTGAAACCACAGTGAAAGGAAGCTTGTCTAGTCTACTGGAGAATGAGAAGCCTCCTGGAGTAGAATGGAGCTGCCTCAGGCAATAGAGATCACCAACTGCCAAGCACAGGAGTGAGGCCATCTTGAACGTTCCAAGCCAGCTGACCCTGAGATGAAAGTAGCTGCCTGAGTGAGACTAGGCAAAACCAACAGAGGATCCACACCAGCCAACCCATTGTTTTGGCTTAAAGCAACTGATAAAGAAATTGGTGATTAGATTGGGATGCTAGTGTAGCAAAAATCTAAAACATGCAACATTGGCTTGGGGACTGAGATCTGAGTGGTAGGCAGTGGCTGGAAGGGAGGTGATGATATCCTTAGTGGAGACTGAAAGAGAAGTAAGGAAATTGCTATTGGAGCCTAGAAAGATGGTGACCTGTGTTTTTTAACCTTGGAATAATTGGAAAAAATGTTTCCTGCAGTAACTTGGAATAAAGATATTGTAGCTAACGAACTTACACACTTGGCTAAGGAGATTCCAGAGATCTCTAAACAGAATGTTGAAAGTGCCAACTGGATTCCGCTGGCTGTATATGATAAGGTTTGGGAGGAGAATGATGAGCTAAAGAAGGAGCTATTTGGTTTGCAAGGAGAATTTAGAGGCAACATAGAAGACCCAGTACTTGCTGGGTTGGAAAATGAATTGTTAGTTATCCAGCAAAATGAGGATCAAATCAGGGTATAGGTGTAAGTTTTTTGTTAAAATCTCTGAAAGATTTAAGGCAGATTCTAGTAGACAGTCTTGGCTACATAAAAGGGCTTCTAAGACTCATAAGTAAGAGTATTCTCATGGCAGCTTCACATGCAGCCCAAAGTAGAGAGAAGCTTGTCTTGAAAAATATCATAGTTGTAGCTTTTGGTGTTTGAGTGAACCAGTCAGATTCTAAGCAAACTCACAAAGTCTTTAAGAAAGTCTATCAGTTTGGACTAAAAGAGGCTGAGAAAATTCAAAATGGGTCCTAAATTTCTATGAGTAGAAAGCACACCGAGAAAGCTACTCAACTGCAGACATACACCATTTTTTTTATGGAAAATGAAAGACTTCTTAGAGGAGGATCCAAGAGCCCAGGGGGTGGAGCCCAGAACCAAGGAGAACAATGGACTAAGGAACCCATTACTAGGGGGTGGAATTGGGCCTTAATCAAGAAACATTCCCTTCCCCTGGAGCAGTGGGGTGATTAGCAACATGAACCTGACCGCATTTCAGAATTGCTGTGGACCAGTAACTGCTATGTGCTTCCCGTTCTTCTCCTTTTTGAACAGGAATGTCTATTATGATTATCCTGTCCCTGCATCACCATTATATGTTGGGTGTATGTGTAGAAGATAACTTGTCTCCTTAGTTCATAAGTCTCTGGATCAAGATGAGCTTAGCATGAAGAACCTCATCCATGTCTGGACCACATACAGATCTTCAGATACTGGACTTTGAGACTGATGTGTAACTGTATGAAAATTTTGAGGGTCTTGGTAAGAAGTGAATTTATTTTGCACATGGGAGAAATGTAAATAATTTTGGCAAGGAGTGTGCTTTGGAAGATTATGATCCCAGATTCTTTACAGCTCACCTATCAAGAAGTGGAATCTATTTCCTCACTCCCTCAATCTGAGCCAGATCTGTGACTTTCTGTGACCAACAGAATGTGGTAAAAGTGACATTATGTGAGTTCTGGAGTCTAAACTTCTAGATGTCTTATAGCTTCTGCCCTTGCTCTCTGGGTATACTGGCTTGAGATTTCCGTATAAGGAAGCCAGGTTTAGCATATTGTATGAGTATAACAAGCTACATGAGATGCCCACCCAACAGCTAGCATGTGAGTGAGGCCATCTTGGACCATTTTAACTAAGTCAACCCTCCAGGTAAATGCAGCCATGTGTTCAAGTGAAAATAGCAGAAGATCCACCCAGCCAATCTATGGAATTATTGTAGATAATTAGTCTTAAAGTCTTAATTTGGGATGGTTTGTTATGTAGCAATAGGTAACTGATTGAGCAATTAATAAAATTAATAATAATCATGATAATGGTAATCACTATAACAATAGCAGCAGCTAACAATACCAACTGTTTTCTGTGTGCCAGGCATTTGCTAATAACTTTACATGCAATACTTTGTTTAATCTTTTCAGTAATCCTACGACATTATTTCTCCCCCTTTCTCTCCCCATGACGATTACTTCTGCAGTATCTCAGGCTTAGAGAAGTTAGTTAATTTGCCCAAGGTCATACAGCTAGAAAAAGACAGAGCCAGGACTCCAACCTCAGCCTGTCTAGCACCAGAGCCTGTGCTCTTAATCACCACCCCAAGCTGCTAGTGGCTTTTTGGGGGGATTTTTAAAAATTATGAATGACTAGTTAGCTATTTTTAAAGTTGACATGTAAAAGGTCATCAACTGAGGAGTGGGCCACACTCCTATAAAACACAAATTGCTGAAACTGAGTGAAGTAACTTGTCCAAATATGAATTGAAACGTGCAAGGCTACAATTTCTCTGACAAGATCCACATCGTGAAACACAACACATCCAATAAATTCTGCTCTTTTAGCTCAGCAGGGCTAATATACTGATTATTTGTATCCTGGACAGGATTGGGACCTGGGCCCTAGGGCTGAATGGGACTTTCTTTTCTCATAAATATCTCTCTTATCTTACCTGACTTTGCCTAAAAAGTCTATGTCAACACATGCATGTCCATTTATAAGTTTTAAGTTAAAATTAATTGTTGTATGTATTTTTTTTTATGATTTCCTGCTTTAACTCACTTCTAATTAACCAACCAAATACCAGTCTCATAAATATTATATTTTGGTTCCTTAATATTATGACTTAACATACATGAAAGCAATATAATTCAGTGCAAGAATTTGTGAGGGATAATTATCACCATCTCATTAGTCATTATTAAATTAAATTATATAAGATAAGCCAAATATTAATCTGATAGACCAGGAAGCATTGATTAATCACAGTTTATAGCACATAAAGCAGTTGCCTTTACTTAGGATTCAGGTATAAATTTTCCTCAGAAAATAAGATTCATACAGCTTGTCTCTAAAATTGCAAGAGGTAATTTGGATAGACTCTGTTAAGGACCTTGCAAATTTTATTACCAAACTTTCTCAAATCAAATATATCTATGACATTTACGTGTTTGAAACCCATGTATATGGTGTCATCTGACTCCGGTTTTTATATCGTGTTCTTATTATTGATGACATCAGCACTGACCCCAAAAGAATCCCAAGATAATGTTCCTCCTGTGAAGCTTCAGCTGGTAAAGATGATAGTGACAGGTTTAGAGATATCTGAGCTGGGCACATGAGGTCTGCATTCTTAAAATGTGTGGCTTATTTATATGCTTAGACAAACATACAAGCTGAACTTCATTTCCAGAAAAGCATCCATCCGCCTTCATGAATAGATAAAGATGATGTTACTGCCTACAAAATAAGGCAAGTATTTTGAACTGTTTTTCAGCTGGACCAGTGTCTAGGTAACTAGATTTTTCTTTGCACATTTTAACGCAACTACTTTTGACCAAAGCTAAAACCTACCTGTGAGAAAAAACCAAAGCCAAGTGGCTCATCGCAGAGGCCTGGATTTAACTCAGTGCACCTCCGTCAAAGCAAGCCAGTGAGTTGGGCTAGCCACCCCTCTCTGCAATGCAACCTGACACAAAAAAGAAATCAATAAAGCCCTGAGAGAGAGCTTCATTTGCTCTTATGTTCATGCTTTTCAATCTAGATTTGTAAAGCATTGGCAAAAATTTCCAATAAAGTTTCAATTTGCTGGTCCTTCAGGTGTTTAGGGTCTACTGACCTTACCCAGAGCTGCCTGTACCTCAGCTTCACTTTCAGTGTCTAAGGCTGTCGTGGCCTCATCCAGCAGAAGGATCTTGGGGTTATGAACCAGGGCTCGAGCGACGGCGATTCTCTGTTTCTGTCCCCCATTCAGCTGGGCCCCTCTCTCTCGAAACAGGGTGTCAAATTTCTACAACAGAAAAGATGGAGGAGTTCTTGAAGTATTTTAAACAGAAAAAGCTATGGATCTAGAAATTCAAGACAACATAGAGCTTCACTTTGATATAGTAATGAGTCATAAATTTTAATGAAATAAATCAATACGGAGTTCTAAAAAACTACTAACACATATTTTGTATAAAATTTTATATGATTCATGTACCAGACTATACTCCTTAAACCTCCAACTGAATAATTCAAGGTACTTACCTAGCAAAGTTGGACAACCTTGCATCTCAAACATTATTAGCTTAACCTTTGAGGAAAGACCTCAGGTGTATGCGGTGAAATTCTAATTTTGAGGGCAACTACATTAACAGAGTGTTTACCTGTGGTGATTTTATGATAAACTCATAGGCGCTGCCTTCTTTGAGAGCTTTCTTTCTCTCGTCAATGGTTATATCTCAGCGATAACGAATACTTTCGGCAATTGTAGTAGAAAATAGTACTGGCTCCTGACTCACAACTCCAATTACTTCCCGCAGATACCTTACATTAAAGGTCCTACTACCCTGCCCATCAATGTTAATCTGAAAGAAAGAAATATTTATATTAAATATCTTAAGTCATCTGATATCTAAAGCATCAAGACTTTAATTTGTTACGAAAAAAGTGTTAGCTAATATTTAACTTATTTCAGTGGTTAGAAGTGAGAATCGGAAATAAACAGCAATTTGCAAGAATAAAAATAAAAAGTGTATGTTCTCTTGATATTTATTATCGTATATATACAGTTTTTTCATGGATGGACTATTCTCCATAAGCAATATTGGGTTATACATTTTGGGTGTACTATTATTATTGCTTACCATTATTAAATTTGAATAAAAATGTCCACTTACCTAGTCTAAATATCATTTTGGTGGCGCTATGATATTTCACTATATGTAATATACCATAATTTACTTTAGCATTTCCCACCTGCTGGACATTTGGCTTCCTTCAAGGACCAGTGAAGGACAATCTCTACTTTTACAATTGTCAAAGTAGAGAATTACCAGGCTGAAGACTGTGATTTATTTTTTCCTCCCCAATAACAACTGCTTGCCTGTACAATGACTGGTGTATGTTGGGCATTTATTATTTGCTGAATAAAGGTTGAATAAACAATGCTATAAAAAGATTTTAATAATTTACAATATCAGCAGGAATATATAAATATATCTGCCTCATTGTAATTTACTAGCTCCAGGTTTTATCATTTTAATATTTTTCTTCTAATTAATAGGTGTGATGTGGTAGCTTATATTTTTAATTTGTATATATTTATAAGTAAGGCTGAACATTTCTTGAAACTTTTTACAAATCTATGTTTATTCTTGAAACATTTGCATGTTCATATCTTATTATAGACTCATATTAATTTTTCAAATATTAAATGTTTTCCCATATATATCATAAATCATTTGTTCCAATTTATTACCTTCTTTTATTACAGTTTTACTGATTTTTATTGGAGAAATTTTTAAGAAAATCTGAATTAATCAACTGGGCATTTCTCCTACTATTTCAGTAGTAAGAAAATTGTTAAATCATGATGTGAACAGTGAAGATCTCTGAGTTATAGAATTTCTGAAGATGTTTTTCTGCTGCATGTATATTTTCTAAAAAAATATGTATTACTCCAATAATTTTAAAAGTAAGATATTTGGAAATGCTTATTCTCAATGGTTAGTATTTTACTGGTTTTTTTTGGGGGGGGGGGCGGTGAGCAAAACTGGCCCTAAGCTAACATCTGTTGCCAATCTTCTTCTTTTTGCTTGAAGAAGATTGTTGCTGGGCTAACATCTGTGCCAGTCTTCCTCCATTTTGTATGTGGGACCCTGCCACAGCATGGTTTGATGAGCCGTGTGTAGGTCCACACGCCCAGGATCCAAACCTGAGAACCCCAGGCTGCCAAAGAGGAGCATGCACACTGAACTACTACACCACTTGGCTGGCCCCACTAGGTTCTTTTTTAAAAATGAAAAAAGATATTTACACTTGAACAAACCTAGAGTTTGCTTTAGTAAATGAGGATGGGCTTATGTTCCTTCTTAGTAATATTAGATTTTTCCAAGACTGTTCATTAATTTTATTAAATTAAATAAACAAATAATTCATGTATCCTAGAAACTTTTGGATTCATCCCTACAATCTCTCTTCTATCTCTCTGCCTTTTTATGTTTTTTGTCTTTCTTTGTAACTTGTAATCTGCTTTCATAATTGTTGAATTACAATACATTTTAATTTCAGATAAACTCAATGTTCTAAAGTTGGTACAATTGATAAAATTTGAGTATATACTGCAGGCTGATATTGTATTAATGTTAAATCTACTGATTTTGATAATTGTTTTATGGTTATGTAAGAGAATGTTCTTCTTCTCAGAAAATATATTGTGCAGGATGTAGGGATCAAGGGGGCATGATGTCCTTAACTTACTCTTAAAGATTCAGAAAAAAATATGCACGTATGTGTGTGTGTGGGTGTGTGTTATATACACGCACGTGTAGAGAAAGAGAGAGGACAATAAAGCAGTTGGTCAAATATAAACAATTAGCAAATCTGAGTGAAGGGTATATGTGAATTCCCTGCTTGCAACTTTTCTGTAAGTTTGAATTTATAACAAAATTTTTAGAAGGCAAAAAAATATACCCTAGGTTGTTAGTCCCCGCACCCCCAGAAGTTTCTTAAGGGATTATCCCACTTTTCCTTTCAGATGTTACAACATTTAAGAAAACTCAACTGTCTTTGATGAATTTAATTATTATCCTAAGACTTCTTGTGATCATGATTACCAGATTATCAACAATTGCTATATGGATCGTTTTTGACCAAACCCAGTAACTCATTGGAAAAAATCCTCTCAGTGGTTGGATGACTGTTTTCCAGTGATTTAGTGGGTAAGAAAAGCTTAATCAGAACAGAAGAGAGTGGTGTCTAGCTTCTTTGGCTTTTATCATTTTGAATACTTCTGCCAAACCAGCCCAAAGGTTTGAATGCATTATCCAGATGCAGTGTAGTTCTGTAGACCTTTTACCAAAATTAGACTCACATGCAAATTTGTTACTAAAAAAACAATTTCAAAGGGCTAATTGGTACCCAGCTTCCCACTTTGGAAAACTTGGTTCTTCCCACTTACTATACCCTCCTCAGGGTCATAGAGCCGCTGTATCAGCTGGACCATTGTGCTTTTCCCACAGCCGCTGTTCCCAACCAGGGCCACTGTCTGCTTACTCTGAACCTTCAGACTGAGGCCCTTCAAGATCTGTAAGGGAAAAGAAAGAAAAAGAATATATCTCACTACAAAGCCCTAAAAGGAGAATAATTTGATTCAATTTTGAATTTGAAAAAAGTATCCAATGAGGGAATATAATCCCAAAAGGAAAAAGCATAGAAATATCAAAATAATAGAGACTATAGATTCTTTAAGATGATTAAACAATCAATCTGAGTTAAGATTTTCTACAACTATTGCTTATAGTACCTTGACATTAGCTCGAGCTGGATAAGAAAAGGGAACATCACTGAACTCCAAATTCCCTTTGATGTTGTCTGGTTTGTGCCCTCTCTCTGAAAACTGTCAATTTTAGGATTCTAAATTTAAAAAAAAAATTCAATGACTATTCCATAAGACAAACAATTGCATTTTAAAGGAATATGATTCAGCAATTCCAAAAATAAGACCTGGAATGGCACAATCTTCTTCACAGGAGACAGAATGCAAGGTGAAGATCGTGTATGTGTGTGTGTTTAAGAAATAGTCTTTCTCAGAAAATAGGCTTTTCCTGAAAAGTACATAAGGGATATATTCATTTAATTTCATACAATATTTCACTTTAAGTTTTTGGTGTAGCTTCATAAAGTTTCTAAATAGTCAGATACGCATGTTTATACAACTGCAATAACAAAAACATACTATAATTGATATAGCCAGGCATTTCAGCATTTAGTGAAAATTAGTTTGTTCCCCAACAATAAATGTAATGGATTGGTTTGAGAAGACTGACTGAACAATTGGTTAGGGCCAAGTTATTTAGGATCAATGTAAACTTTCAAAGTATTCGGAAGCCGAGAAACTTTCTCATGACTTAGATCAATGAAACAGGAGCAATTGCTTGGATTAAATGATCAAATTTCAGTTACCTACTTTGCAGTTTATCTGGGTAAATGCAGTGATATACTTTTTAATATGTCAAAATTATTTTCTTTCTTTTGCTGCAGTTAGTACAACTTATTCAATATATTTGATTCAAAATCATATCAAACATTGCGATGATCTTTTTTTTTTAGGGAGGCAACCCTGTCAATTCTGGTCCTACCAATAATTTCTCCACCCACTCATCCTGTATAGAAGTCATAATATTCTCAGTCTGGCTACAAAGTGCAAAAGAAAAGGAGAAAAATTAGATAGACAGATATCTTTGCTCTGAATTCTAATAATAAGACACTAGTACAGATGTACTTTTCCAAAATGAGATCGGTGTTATTATATTACTTAAAGGTAAACTTTTAGAAATATTAATGAGGCGTTTTATTTCATTCATTACTAAGAAGAGGTTGTTAATTTCCCACAATCAATTTTCACATGATATTTAAAATAAAGCCAGATTTAATTCTCCAAGCCTCAAAGAATTTTTCAGCATTAAAATAATAAATGACTTCCATTACCAATAATATGAAAGATCACATATGCTGCTCCTCTTGCATTGGCAAAAGCATCAATACATGGAGCAGCCTGTCCAATGCTGAAAGCTCTAATCAGGATTGAAGAAAAGACCTTAGCAAAAGAACATGAGAAAAAGTTAAAAGCCCCATTCTGGCATCCATTACTGTCTCAAATATGATTTGTCTGAAATACACACGATACAAAAGATTGAGTTTAGGTTTACCACTTTCAAAATTTTTTTAGCAAAAGAGCAAAATTTACAAGGTTAATATAGCATTTTATTGCACAAATGGGTTTCTTCAATCTCAAAAATATTTTTGTCTAGATTGCCAAATTATCTGTTGCTCTTCTCCTGAATTTACACAGTCAGAAAGATTTTTCAAACCTATTTCCTTGACTCTGAAGCTAATGCCACCAGAGGTAAACATCTTCCATCAGTATTATTATTCAGTCCTATATGATTTTCTCTAACTATGCACGGCGTTACACAGAATATTCAAGGCGAAACATGGTAGATTTTGGCCCCATGGAATTTTCCCAAAAAAGTACCACTTTACATACATATTTTGAAAAGATTTTTAATATACAAAGTAACAGTTCACACATTATAAAACACTAAATCACACCTGTGTACACTGATTAATAATTCCTTTACACAATTATTCTGTATTATAGCACACAAAACAACACAATTGCCTTCACATTTTTTTTCACAAGGAAAATAAGTTGATATAGAACAGCCAAGAATATAGCTTCAGGAATCCAGATTATTAGCATAATTTAAATGAGAAAAACATAAATGAAGAGAAATTACTCCTTTCTCTCTGGGCATGGTGAAATTCTATATATAGTTTGGGTTTTCTCAGAAGACAGTAACAATAAGACTTCACACACCCAGGACTCAAATATCCCTCAAATATCCATCTGCTATCTGCAATATAGATGATAGATTATAAAGTGAATGCACTAGGGCTCTCGCTGGGTGCTGAGGCTGTTGCTGGGCTCCCTGCCTCGTGGACAGCACCCTCCTGCCCAACCGGGGAGGTGTCACTGTCCACATACTACAAATGAGGAGCCTAGGCCAGCAAGGACACACTCATCACAAAAGGTGAATGGGAAAGTCAGGATTCAATCTCCCTTCTTCACAAAATTTAGCAAATGAGGAAGCAAAGAAAGGTGGAGAGCTTCCAAGCTGACAACCAGAAAGGAGACCAAAACGAGAAAAAAATAGAGTCAGCAATTATGAAAGCTCATTCGGCCAAACAGCCCTCAGCGCCTCAGTGGAGTCTGAAGAGACCACTCCAGAAAACATTTTGAAATAATTAAATTTCATAATGGCCTCATGCCATCATCAAAGGGCCAAATTGTTTCTGTTTAGAAAGATAGGGAAGTGCAGGTTTTAAAACATTGCTATTTGAATGGTTACATGTTGTTCTGATTGTCACTGACATGGAAAGATGGTCACAAACTATTGCTAGTTTATAAAAAAGGTTACAAAAAATATGCATAATATGATCCCAGTTTTAAAAGAAAAAAACGTGTATATATAGAAAATGGTCTGGAAGATATTCACCAAAAGTTATCATTAAGGATATATGGATTATTAGATTATAAGTAATTCTAAGAAATTTCCAATTTCTAAAATTCTGTGTTCTAATCATTTGTATAACTAGTATATATTATTTTTATCATAAAATGAAGCTATTTTCATTTTGAAAAAGAAAAACAAGCTATAGCTTTTCATCTTGTATTTCAGATGGCTGATGTTTTATACTATGTAAATTTAATATTCTCTCATACTATGACCTATCTATAATAATGTTTACTCTCTTATATAATGAAACTACAGGGCAGAATGAGGATGGCTCCAATCCATATTTGTTCACTCACAAATTCATTCAATTTTTATTTCCTTTTATATGTTGTATATGTTTCTCAATTAGTCTAACTACATGCTGTTTTCTTGCCCCCACTCATAATTACGTTTTGTGTACTCTAGAAGGCCAGCTCTGCCCACAGGACAGAGCAAAGATTCACCAAAAGAAAAAAGCCTGTAATCATGGCTCATCTCTTGAAAAGGAGGACTATGAAAGAAAAGAAAAGGTACATGGATAAAGAAAATTTTCAGATTCTTCATAAATATTAGAAAAACAACTTACTGTCATTGCATTTCCAATAGTATATTCTTTTGATATAACGAGAGTGGATGCATACCAGAAGGCCAGTGCATATGATGCATATAGCAATAGGAAGGCAATGCCCATGGAAATGTTTGCTGAAATAGCTTTTGTAATTCCAGTCTTTTTGGTATTTTCTAGATGTTTTTGATACCTACCAGACAAAGTAGGGGGAAAACGTGAAAATAAGTAAACAATCCATAAACTGAGCCATATTCACCTCCTGTATAGTTGGAGGATTAAGGAACAAAGCCATCAAAGTAAGAAAGCCCTGGTGAGACCCAGCTTCCTGGGAACTGAACCAATTCAGGATCAGCCAGGACTAGAACTGATCTGAGACTTCTCTTTACTGGCCTGGACCCATCTCCCTTGGTCCCTCCCAGTCCAACAAATATTCTCGTAGCTGTTCCAGAATTGAACTCTCAACCCTGGGATATAGAAGGGCTTCACTATCACCTTCATGGCTAGCATCATAAGCCAAGGCTGAGGTGGAAGGAGAGAAACCAAGACAATCAAGAATGGCACCAAAAGATAAATATTATTCAGGACTCTTCAAATAGTTAGACTCTTAACACCGCTCAATTTCCCTTCTCTAAAGAAAAGAAAATCCTTCTTCTATTGCCCCATTGGGAGAGGAACAGGAATTTTACATGTTCTTGTACTTAGACTTGGGCCTTTGCTTGTGTAGGGGAGGAGGACATTTCCTCTCCCCAAATGGGGGTTCGTCTAGCCGGAGAATGAATTAAATTCACATGAGACAGAATAGCAAGAGAAAATTAAACAAAGATTTATGAGGAACCATGGCCCGGGGCCTTTCTTCCCGAAGGAAGACAGGGCACCAAAGAAGTGGGGTGCACAGAGTGGTTATATACCCCCAAACAGGGTGTTTCACATGTGATTGAAATGTCCCTCCCACAATAGTCACAAGATTGCCCTGTCGGCACAGTGCTTGATGGACACAGCAGGTAGTGGTCGGCTATCTTGGTGGGTGTAGCAGGAGGCTAGTTGATTGTCTGGAGCTGGGCGGTCACAGGTGAGCACAGCAATCAGTTCCTAGCCTAAGGAAAGATGCTTAATCCTTAAAGAAATGCCAAAGTTGGGAGGGGGAGGGAAGTCAGCTACAGGAGGTTACCAGACAGGCACAATAAAATGCAGCTTTTAAGTCCTTGCCTTTGGTATTGATTAAGAGTTTTTAGAGAGAAGGTCATCTCCTTTCTTCTTCCTGGTACAGAGAGGGAGGCAACTTTTACAGATAGAGATTTACCTTACAAATGTAAATGTGTCCTAACAAAGGGCAAGTTCCATTCCTCAGAGCCTCCTTGCCTGTCCCAGTTTATCAAAAGCAATCAACCTCAAATAGTCCTGATGCCAAAGAGACATATCTTGGGGTGGCCAATTCCAGGTCCCCACACTTGTTTTTGGTTTTTTATTTTGTTTTCTTTTTGATCAGTCTGACCTTCACTGTCAAGCCAGGGTACAAGGTTATAAAGCAGTCACTACTTATGGGATGTGGGTTCTTACTCAATTCTTCTAGATTTTAGTTTTATAAACCGTAAAATGCAATTAATAATGCCTACCTTGCAAGATAATTATGAGGTTGACAGATAATTAGAGAAAGTAGTTAGTACAGTTCTGGCACATAGTTGACAAAACCTGATTGTTCTTATTGTTATTACTATTATTGTTTTAGAATTTAATCTCTTCCTGAATGTTGCTCATTCTATTAACATATTTTTTAATGGTAATTAAAATTAATATTACTGGCTCCTAGGATTTGATACAAAAGAACAAATGCCATTCTAGAATGGTTCTGCTGAATTACAATGTTTTTTACATCAATTTAAATTAAGTATACTTTTCCATGCTAAGCACGGAGAGTGTGTAAACAGAGAATGCTGAACTTAATTACTAGGCCACAGGGGCTGGCCCTAAATTTTTTATATTCATGCAAGAGTTTGGAGGAATGTTATGTTTTAAAATTGTGTCTCCTTAAATAAGGACATAACCTACTATATCTGAGGAGAAAAAACCAGCAGATAAGAAAAATACACCGTGGCATAGGCTGTAAATGCTGGAAATGGCTATCAGATGATCTATTCCCAATGCATATCAAATGCTTAATCTAGTAACTTTTTTCATTTAAAAACTTCCCATATAAATTTTCACATAGTTAGTGGTTAATTTCCTTATGAAAGTGTGACATTAACAATATACTTACTCTGTTAGCCATATATTGAGGTCAGTGGTGGTGTTGATGTCAAACCAGCCTATTTCTTGTCGTAGAACAGCATGAAAAAACTATGAGGCAGGACTATTTCACAAATCCCCATTTTACAGATGAGGAAGGTGAGGCACAATGTAACAAAGTAACTTGCTCAAAGTCATACAACTAGCAGGTAGGCTGAGAGTGCTAACACTATACTACACAGCTCCTAAAACAATACTATAAGGATTGACTCATGTGATGACAACTTATTTTCATTTTTTAAAAACACAAAGTGAAAACATAAAAAGGGAACAGCCCATATCTACTGCATTCACGAAACAATAGGATAACGCGTCACCACTGCATTGTTGCGAAAACACCCCAGGGTAGGTATTTCCCGTTTACCTATTTTACTTCTGCTCTTATCAGTTCAGTTCTGGGTGCTCATTTTCTTCCTGAGTCCTTAAATATGGCATCTTTGATATACCAAATGGGAACTGTATTTGGAATTAGAGGCAGACAAGCTATCTTAAAGCTGTGGTATTTGTGGAAATCATTGTTCAAAACCTTGGGAAATCTCCAGATAAATGTGTACAGGACTATTCCCCCCCCCCACCCCGAACTTAGAAATCAGGTAAAATTTTAAATGAGTTTTACTCTCCTCCAACAGTATCTCAAACTTTTTAATCCTCTCAATGAAGATATTGTAATTCAGATTGACTCTGCTGCCTGGAAATAAGAATCTATGGGCTTTCCCAATTTGACCTGCTCCTTTCTCAGGGTCCCAGGCCAAGAACAGCAATCTAACTCTGATTTAGTAACTCTAGGAGCTCCAGAGCCCCAGGAAACCAAGAGTTTCTGTTGCCTAAGGACAAAGGTGAGAGAAATGCACGTTGATGTGTTCCCAGAAGCGTCATGGGACTCTAGATCTGGAAATCTCATAGGATTCTAGATCTGAAAAGGGGCTAGGCCTGGTCTTCTCAGATGCTACCTATTATGCTTCAGTTTCATAAACAATCTCCAAGTAGTTGTCTGATTCAGTGATTCTCAATGCTATCTACTGTTAGAATCACATGGGGAGCTTGAAAAATACAGGTGTCCAGGCTCCACTCAAGACCAGTTAAATCAGAACCTCTGGCTGAGTCTAGAGAATCATATTTTTAGGAAGTAGTTCCACTTGATTCTAAAGTGCCAGGACGGAGAACTCCCACTCTAACTTGCCTGAATGCATCCCATAATAAGGAAATGGGGAATTCTTGAAGCTGCTTATTCATTGTAGAGAGCTCCCATATAATTCACCCATTTTATAGATGGGGAAATATAATTTCAGAGTGGTTGTTTCATTTCCAAGTTCTTACAGCTAGTTTTCCCCAATATTTATTGATCATTTACTACGTTCCAGATACTTTACATAAATCTTCTCATTTAATTCTACCAGTAAGTCTACGATCCCCTTTCAAAGATAAGAATAGTAAGGATTATAGAGGTTAAGTAACTTGTCCAAGTTCATACAGCTGGTGAGTGAAGGGCCTAAATAATAACTGTATACTTTAAGGATTATACAGGGAGACATTACATAGGGAGTTCTGACTGTCACTTTTTAGTCTCAAAGTAAATCAGTGTCTGCCTTCCTTGATTCTGCCTAGCACTCCTTTTATCACACAGAAATATTCAGCATAAAACAAAGAGTTGGTGTTTGTCCAGGCAGCTTTGGCAGTGTAGGGACCTGGAATTGGCCACCCCAAGATATGTCTCTTTGGCATCAGGATTATTTGAGGCTGATTGCTTTTGATAAACTGGGACAGGCAAGGAGGCTCTGAGGAATGGAACTTGCCCTTTGTTAGGACACTTTTGTAAGGTAAATCTCTATCTGTAAAAGGTGCCTTCCTCTCTGTACCAGGAAGAAGAAAGGAGATGACCTTCTCTCTAGAAACTCTTAATCAATACCAAAGGCAAGGACTTAAAATCTGCATTTTATTGTGCTTCTCTGGTAACCTCCTGTAACTGACTTCCCTCCCCCTCCCAACATTGGCATCTCCTTAAAGATTAAGCATCTTTCTTTAGGCTGGGAACCGATTTGCTCATCTGTGACCCCCTAGCCTGAGGCAACACACCTGCCACCCCGCGGCGTTCACTGGGACAGCAGACCTATCTGTCATTTCCATCGAGTGCTGTGCTGACAGAGCAGCCTCGTGACTATTGTAAAAGGAACATTTCAATCATATGTGAAACAACCTGTTTGGGGGTATATAACCACTCTGTGCACCCCACTTCTTCAGTGCCCTGTCTTCCTTCGGGAAGAAAGGCCCCGGGCCATGGTTCCTCATAAAGCTTTGTTTAATTTTCTCTTGCTATTCTGTCTCATGTGAATTTAATTGGTTCTCCGGCCAGACGAACCCCCATTTGGGAAGAGGAAATGTCTTCCTCCCCTACAGCAGTATAGACAGTTAATTAAGGTAACTAGGGGCTCAAAAATGCCTTTTCCTCTTAACTATGAGGCACTGCAAGGACATGCAGGGTACATAGATTTCTCCACAGAATTTCCTAGATTATTACAGTCACATAGACTTGGCACAAAATATATCAAGTTCCCAATATTCTGCAGAAAATCTGTTTCCAATTCTCTGTCGTTAAAGTTTTGGATGCAGAATAGTTTCTGCACAACTGAGTCGTTGCGAGGGAACGACCTTGTCATGGAGTAGCTTTACTCTGTTGACAAGGATGGGCCTTGTTCAGAATAAATCATTGTGAGACCCTCTTGTAATTTAAACCTCTTTTTCTTCTAACATTCCCTCTTCATTTGGTTCCCATTATGTCTAATTGTCCAAGAATCCAACAATTCTAAGGAATAGACTCTAAATAAACATCATCTGTATGAGATGCACTAGTGAGCTCAGCAAAATACTCTATCTTCTTTTAATGCCCGTGATTTTTGCTAAACTCTACAACCCTAAACATATCAATGAGCTCCCTGGATTTAGAGTGAATATCCTTTAAAGATCTGATTTTCTCCAAAGAAGTATGAGAATATTATTTTTACAAACTACCAAAGAGTGGACATTGGAAATTTGTAACATGTGATGGACTTCCCATTGCAAATTCTCCAAGATAGCAAACAGGCCTAATGACAAACATGCATGGCTACAGAGGACCACAGGGCATGTAACTTGGAGGCTTCTGAAACTAAGTTGGCAACTCTGGTGATTTTATCACTCCAGCAATCACAGGTATGTAAGTGACTTGCTCATGCCATTCCCCCAAGAGACCTTGAATTTGGCCCTGAGCACAGCACAGGGCACCTGTCTGTCATGTCTGGCTTCAAAGCTATTTGGTTGCATAATTAGAAACAAGTAAAAAACAAGCAAACTGCTCCAAGTAGGAAAGCTGTGGAATTATTATGGTGTTAGTAAAAACAAAAACAGGTCTAATAAAATTGGTCCAAATGCAAACTCATCTGTGATAAATGCATTGCACTGTTTTAATCTTATTTTTAAAACATTTTTAATTGTGATAAATACACATATAAAATTTATCATCTTAACCATTTTTAAGTGTACAGTTCAGTAGTGTTAAGTAATGTTTACACTGTTGCACAACCAATCTCCAGAAGTTTTTCATCTTGCAAAACTGAAACTCTGCTGAAACTCTATGCCCATTAAACAACAACTCCTATTTCCTCTTCACGCCTAGGCCCTGGAAACCACTATTCTGCTTTCTATTTCTATGATTTTGACTACTCTAGATACCTAACATAAGTGGAATCATACAGTATTTGTCTTTTTGTGACTAGTTTATTTCATTAAGCATAACGTCCTCAAGGTTCATCCATATTGCAGCACTATCAAGATTTCCTTCCTTTTCAAGGCTGAATAATATTCCATTGTATGTATACGCCACATTTTGTTTATCTATTCATCCATTAACATGATTTTTAAAACCCTCCATTGAAACCAATTTCTGATTGAGGTGTCCGAACATGGGCATCATCCCGCTTTATATATATAAGAAATTAATGTGTAACAGGTCTATAAATCCTCTAAGAAGTAAAAGGAAAATATGTAGACAACTCCTACCTTTCATTACACTGAAGACTTTTTAAATCATCCTATCTTACTCCAATTTTACCTTTATGGTGTTTGTGTTAAAGTTTTGGTCACTGGTCAAACACAAGTAATCTATTTAAAACATGACCATATTTTTGTTTTTAAGAGAAAGCACAATTATTTACATTGGCAGTATAAGGTACATGGTCATGAGTGTGGTTTGGGTGGCAGAAAGACCTGAGTTTGAATTCTGTCCTAAATACTCACCAGCCATGTTAACTTTGGGCAAGTTACTCATGCTCTCCAAGCCTCAGTTTCCTCATCTGTCACAGAGGATAATATTATCTACTGTGTAAGATTGTCCTTGTGAGGGTTAAGTGAAATAGGACTTAGCAGAAATAAATACAATGAAAGATTACTATTATTGTTATTTTTATGATAAACAGCTTCTTCTCAGAGACAATAGTACTTGAGAATAAATAAACTGTGTTTTTGTTGGATCTTGCTTTAATTATTCAAAGGACACTTTTATTGGATTTCTAAAAGGCATTAATATTTATGTAAACAGATCCTATTGTATAAATCAAGCAGTCATACTCTCTTAGGTAATTACACTTAAGCCCTAAATGCTAACCAAACATGTAGTTCTCAATCAGTGAACACTCAAAGCTCTTACTGATGTTATCTAAATGAGAATCCACTTTCTCTCAGGTATCTTTGTGATGAAAGCTGCAAAAGTTTGGTTCCATTTCCTTTATCAGTTTTTTTCTTATATTCCACCATCTGTGTGCCAATGAAGCTTTACTCAGTTTTCTCCAGCCTAGTGCCCACTAGGTCTCTTGGGAGAAACTGAGACTGCAGCGTTGATAGACAGCATGAAAATTTTCCTTTCTACATTGAATTTGGCTAATATGAAAATAATTATGTCCATTGGAAGCTCACTCCAATGCTGCTGTCACAGGCCCTCTTATAGATGACATTAACTTATGGGACTCCTTTGGCTCTTCAGTAATTAGTCTTTCAGGTGAACTTTAAAGCACATCATTCTGATATTGAATCCATTCACTCTTTAGTGAAGTGTTCTACCAAGTTCCATTCAACCTGGTTGATCCAAAAATTAGAGACAGAAATTGTATATTCTATGTGGGTATAATTTTAACAAGAAGGAAGGAGAGAGAGAAAAAAAGAAAACCAGAAACAGATCTACAAGCTGAGCACAGCAAAGAAGTACTGCCATGCTAATTGATGTGTTTTGAAATTCATGAGGAATCAATAATGGGATGGACACTGCATAGATATACTCTGTTATAGTCCCACTGCCCTCAAGGGGACTGACTTCCCTACGTTATTCAGATGCAAAGCTTCCTGCATATTTTCTTCCCCAATATTAAAAGTCAAACAGGATACACCTACTTGTTGACATTTAAATGAATATTTGAGGACTTTTCTGAGAATTTTATAACTCCTTCTGTGATATCTGGAGTCACCCAAATGTCCAAAAAATTAAACAAGTAGATGACAAATAGTGAAATCAATTTTCAATCTTTCATCCAGTTAAAGGAGTATTACGCATTAAGAAAAAAAAGTAGGGAAATGCTTACCTGGAAAGGAGAAGTTTCCTGTGGTATTGACAAATCTGCCAGTTATTTCTCCAAACACTATCATCATGAGGGGGAGACCTGCCCTGTGAGCTATAGCCATGATCGTGCCCAGGGACATAAGTAATTTATCCTGCCAATCAAGAGTATCGAAACTAAAAAAACAAAAAAGAAATAAAATAATACCCTTTAGAATAGAATTTCTCATTTTCTACAATCATATGTTCTTTGGATTTTTATTTAAGCTCAGTAATTTTCTAATCGTGGCAAATAAATGTATTAGAGAAGAAGGAGAACTTCAATCCAAATCATTGACAGATTAATTTCATGATTCTATTTATTTTCTATTCAGTGAAGAAATCAATATGATTCTATTTAATCAGTATCTTATTTGGTTGAATGATTACAATATAATCAGAAGAGATAAAAGTTTGGTTCCATTAAGAAATATTGTTTGATCTTCCGGAGCTCCTGTGGTAGTGAATTAAAACAGCTAGGAGTAGACATTAAGTACACACACTCAGGAACACACCTGTTACATCCTTCAAAATGACATTCAGAATATTTCAGAGGGAGAATTACAAATAGGGGAAACACATCCTCTGAGTTTTGAGGATAAGATTCCTGTAAGAGGTTTAAGTTAGTTTTTAAAAGGCAGCTCATTAGTGAAGTGTAACAAACATTACGGAGTGTCTATATGTGTACTTTGGGGACGTCTTGCTCATGGAGGTGATGCTCATTGCAGAATCTTGAAGGATGAGAGAGAGTTCACTGAAGAAGAACTGGGGAGTGCAGAGGAAGTGCGGATGTTTAGGCTTAGAACAGCAAGGTGACTAGAAACTGCATGGAGTGCTCGGGTAACCCCACAAAGTTGAGTCCTAAAGTGCACAGAACACAGTGTGGAAGACGACATTAGAGAGAAGTACAAAAGGCTCGGTGGGACCCACCAAGGATCTTGGACTTAGTACTGTCAATGTACAATGTACTTAGCATTATTACTTAGAGGGGTGATACCAGTTGTCATAGTGAAGTACACAACACCCAACAACTATCCAGCCAATCAGTGTCATAATACTCCAAGACTTTGTCTCTCACTGTTCTTTTGGTCCTCTCCAATTTCTCACTTTTTCTCCCCATTTTTGACTGATTGTTCTATGGCTCTTTCTTTTTGTTCTTCTTTCCTCCTCTGCCCTCCAGACTATATATTCTTTCTCTTATTTTTCCATTTCTATACTTTCCCCTCTGTCCCTTGCATCTCCACCTTCTTTTTAACCTTTTCCCTGTGCCCATTTCCCCCAGCACACCCCGTTTTGGGGACAAGGAACAGTCATCAGGAGAACGGGATGAGTCAGGCTTGGCAGAGTGGGGTCCATGACAGCTGAAGGTGAGTCATTTAGGGTCAATGTGGTGGGACAGCCTGAGGTTAGACTCACGTGGTGGGAGGGGAGGCCAAATTCCATCATCAAACACATAGGGCAAGCGAGAGTGCCTGAAGAGATAAAGGGTCAGAAGCCAGATGGAACTTGGAACAGAACAAGGGGAGCAGGTAAAGTCAAGAGCAAATGGAGAAGGGTCCCTAAAATTGCTACAAAGGGGACCAGCATCCCCAAGGTTCATTTGGCAGCTCCTGGGAAATGGAGATAGAGCACTTGAGTCTATCGGCCACGGTTACAAGCATGGGATCAGGTCGTCATGTGACATTCTCTTTACTGAACATTTACATGAAATTGAGGAACGTTTTAAATGCATTTCATATTATTTAAATAAAAATTTATTTTGTCTCTCAGCTTAAATCTAAAATTGTATGAATTTCACAGCAACATCCTACGTAAACCTAGATTTCTTTTCAATGATTTTCATCACAACAATGCATTTCTAACTCCTGTTAGAGCACGGTTTTGCCCTGAACATTTTTCAGGGAGAAAAGTAACTATTCAGAGGCTGAAAAAAAAAAGAAAAAGATTAAATTTAATTTAAATTTTAGCTTTTAAAATTCAAATGAAATTTTCTATGTTTCTACTTTAAGATTTGGGCTATTTTATTTTCTGAAGGAGGCAGATTTAAAACTTACGCATTAAAACCAGATTTAGCTTTACAAACAATTTATTTTCTAAAGCACTAAATTTTTAAAAATTCTCACTGAGGCTTTTAAACAAAAACATCACAAGAATAAAGGAGTGGAGAATAGGGGCTTTGCGGTGGTGAGAAATGTGCAGCAATGTTCGAGACTAAGGATGTTTTGGTGTCTTCATTGATTTACTTACCAAGTTGGAGATTTCAGTTGACATGCCACTTAATACGAACTTCTTTGCTATTGAATAATGGCTGTCATAGTTTGAAACACATCATGTTTACCAAAAGTGGGCAAACATTTTCTTGAGCCAACTCTCTGAGACATATTACAAATGAAAACTAGATTAGACTTCTTCCAAAAATACTCTGGCTTGCCTTGTGCCAGCAGAAAACCACTGAGAATTGTGTTAAACATAATCTGAATCCCTAAACTCCACACAGATATATTTTTTATTGAGGTCACATTGGTTTATATTGTATAAATTCCAGGTGTACATTATTATATTTCAGCTTCCCTATAGACTACATCATGTTCACCACCAAAAGTCTAGTTGCCATCTGTTATGGTAAAAATGTGCCCCTTTCCCCTTTCACATGCTAAGCAAAATAAGTCAGATGGAGCAAGATAAATATCGTATGATTTCACTCATCTGTGGAACTTACTCCACATTTAATCAATTTTCTCAGAAGCCAAATGTGAACACAGATTTCTTAATTATTTAAAAATTTCTGTAGTTAACAAGCACTTTCTTTATATGCAAGTTTATTTTAAGGTAAATTTGGGGGTGGTTTTTGTGAAACAAATGCAGAGATGCATTTTCCTTAAATTGGTTCATTTGTATAGTGTGATGAAGATGTCTTATTTTCAATTTCCCTGTAAACCACTTAGCTTTGCTCTGTTTCATAGCCAGCCTATCCTTACCTCTTTTATCATCTATCTTGACAATGTGGGCCATTGACTACAATGAGCCAACCTAAGACAACACAGGGGCAGCACGGAAAATCTATTGCTGCCTATAGACAATCTTTAAGTACTGGCTCTATAACTATTGATTAAAGACACCAAATTTGAATGAAGACAAGAAGTATTTACATTTAATATTTCACAACTTACCCATGTTACCAATCAAATACACTCTCTTCATTTTTTTCCTGTCTTGGTTGCTGTAAAAAATATAATCGTTTGAATTTAAACTTGTTACAAAATGTTTCACAGTCAATTGAATATAAATTTGAGTAGTTATCATATTCAACTATTATAATATATTCAACTACAAAAGAGTGATGTCCACACATTATCAAAATCATTCAGTTTAACAAACTGCAAGGCAGTCACTAAGAGCAAAGGTAACTGTCCAAGGTACTACACGGATTTCTGGATAAACAAGGCAAGGTCACCAGCCTTGCCAAGCTCACACACAGAGAAGACGGGTATGTTAACCACGTCTGCCAAATAATCATATTCTCCTTTTGCTAAAAAAAAAAAAAAAAAAAAAAAAAAAAAAAAAAAAATTATATATATATAGATCTAAAAATAGTAAAGGCCACTCTTCTGAAGGATTTTGGGGTGTGGTGCCAGGAAGTCCTGCTGGCTGTACATTCAAAATATATCTAGAATTCAACCACTGCTCACCTTTTTCATTGCTGTGCCAATAGCACAGGAGAACTCCGGCCTAGTCTCTCCACTTCCACTTACATCCACTTTAGTCTATCCTCAACACAGCAACCAGAGTAAACATTTAAAAACTCAAGTCATATCATGCTACTCCTCTGCTCAAAAACCTACAATGGCTCCCATTTTTCTCAGAGTAAAAACTAAAATCCTGACATAGACCACCCTATTTAAAACTGCAAACGACTTCCTCCCTGCGTATCTGATTTCCTTGGCCTGATTAATGTTTCCCCATCACATTCATTACCCTCTAATATTTTCTGTAGTTCACTTATTTAGCATGTATATTATTTATGTCTGTCCTCCATTGACCGGTCGCTTCTGTCCCTCTTAAGGCTTGTGAAGTGCGCTTAACAAGGGCCCCTGGGAACCAAAAAGCCAGGCCAGGGAGAAAGAGACACCAGCAAAGGAAGAGTCGAGGTTCTCTCCTTGCATATGAACAAAAACTGATTTGGAAGTGCAGGTTGCGGAAGAATAAGGCTGCTTAAGGTTCTCCTCCCCACCTCGCCGCTCAGAGGGGAAAAACAGAGCACCAGCCTCGCCCTGGGAGGTGGGGGAGAGGATAAGAGAAGAAGGAAGAGGAATAACGTGTGTGTGTGTGCTCGCGCGCGCGCTTCACTACCCTTGTTCAAAAAGCGCAACCATCAACGGCAGATGTCTGATGCTTTACAAGCATGAAAAGTCAGATGTGGGGTCGGGGGCGCCGGGTGGACATCCCGCTACCCCCGCCCCGCGGCCGATAAGTCCGCGACCAGCCTGGTGCCGCCGGGTGCTCGGAGAGCCTCGCCTGGAGGGCCATCCAGACCCCTCTCTCCACCCCCCAAGTGACTGTCACTCCCTCGGCGCTCAGTTTTTAAACCTGTGCGGGGGACAGCTTCTGGCCGCTCAACAATCATATGGCAGCCGAGGGACGAGAGCGCACAGTAGATTCATCTCCCTCTTCTGCATCCCCAGGTCTAGTCTGGGGGCCACTGAACCGAACTATCTCAAGGGACCACGAGAGCTAACCAGAGCCGGCCGGAATAATCCCATTATGTTCCTTGGAGAAGAGGAGCGTTCTCGGTGCTCTCTCAATACTTAAAGACACAGAACTTCAGGGTGGAAGGGACTTTGGAGATCGCCTAATTCAAAACCTGCATTTTTTACCAGAAGAAACTGACACTCAGTGAGGTTAAGTCCTGTCTGAGACTGCACCAGCAGGACCAGAGTCCAGTCTCAGTGCCCTCCCCTGATCTTAGAGTTCTCCCTATACTAATTGTCTCTACACCTAGCACCTATGTGAGTCCCCTATATGCCTTTCTTAATTTCTCCACTCTCCTCCGAAAAGGAAAGATCTAAAACAGGGAGCAATAAGTTATCATGAAGCTAGCGGGATTCAAACTCAGAGCTTCCTATCTTATTAGTCATTTGACCTTGGGCTCTTTGCTCACTTCTTTAGGCCTCAGTTTCCTCATATGTAAAATGAGGACAAAAACATCTTCCTTACCAAGTTATTGTGAGGAATAAATGAAGTAAAAAGGTAAAAGAACCTAATACTGTGCCTACAACACAGTGCATGCTCAACAAATATGGCTTTCCTTCTTCCTAATCAGGTAGCAGGATTACCTGCTGGTCCTTGCTCCTGCTGTATCTTATTAACACAGAAGTCATCCCATGGCTTTCTGGAGTTCCAAGAGAACTTTAAAGCCGAGCATAGTATAAGAGGAGATGTCAGGCAGACCGTGGTTTGAATCTTACATCTGCGTTTACTAGCTGTCTAGCCTTGGGCAGTTTAATTCTTGATTCAGTCTCTGAATCCACAAAACAGGGTATCGTTAGGATTAGGTACAATGCGCGTAAAGTGCCCATCATGGAGGAGACACCTAATAAACGATAACTAGTATTATAGTTAAAAGATCAGGAAAGACTGGAGCAGGACGCAGCAGCTCTGGCACTCACTCTGAAATGTGCTACTTATCTCCATCCTGGTCTGCCTGCTGCCTGGAGCTAGGCAGAACCTGACTGGAAGAGTATGGTGGGGGGGTGGTGGGGGGGAGGGGGCGTGTAGCTGATTGAAACTATGGCATGTCCTGGAATTATGTGATAGACATGAATTTAGTTAAGTATTTTTCCTCAAAATGTTTTTTCTCCTTATCCAGTCTACCATAACCATAGGATTCTCTTCTTTTATTGACCTGAATTTCTCCTCTTCATGAGTCTTGCGGGTGGTCAGATCACTATTTCAAGATATTCTGGGACTAAAGCAGTTAGAATTACTTGGTTTGAAAGAAAGCTTGGTGGTGACTGGAGGACGTATAAAACTCACTAGTTTATAAGAAGATGATAGCCTCTTCAGTCTCTAGAAATGCTGAGAGAGTAAAGAGGCAGATACTTGAAGAAGTAGGAAGCTTCTGAACTAAAAACAAACATAAACAAACAAGAAACACCCAGGACTAAGAGGTGTTTGCCTGTCTGTCTGTCTGAGTCAGTGCACAATGTTGTGCCTGTAGGAAGTGTGCATGGTGTGCTTTCTGTGTCTGAGGGCAGAAGTGAGACTAGGACAAGCAGGTGTTTGTGGAGAGAGAGGAGCTGTGCCTACATGACTGCGTTTATGTGTGTACCTGTGTTAGTGCTGATTCCAAGGGCACCTTTTATATTTATTTGATAACAATGAAACAGCCCTACCTGGTGCATCCATCTGATTGTCATTCATTCAAAAATGTAATTTAAGCCACTATGATAAATTAGATTTCTTGATGAATTCAGCCTGTAAAAAAAATCGTTAACTTTCTCTTTGTGGCAGCATCTTGAGCTACTCTTGCTTTGTTCTCATCGAAATAATGTCCTTCCACCTCTCTGCTATCTCACTTTTTCTTTTTTCCCCCTCACTATTATTTATTTATTAATTTATTTATTTTTATTGCTGTAACATTGGTTTAAAACATTGTATAAATTTCAGGTGTACATCATATTTCGATTTCTGTGTAGATTACATCGTGTTCACCACCCAAAGACTAATTACAATCCACCACCACACACATATGCCTAATCACCCCTTTCTTCCTCCTCCCTTCCTCCTTTCCCTCTGGTAACCACCAATCCAATCTCCATTGCTATGTGTTTGTTTGTCGTGGTTTTTATCTTCTACTTATGAGTGAGATCATACCGTATTTGACTTTCTCCCTCTGACTTATTTCACTTAGCATAATACCCTTAAGGTCCATCCATGTTGTCACAAATGGCTGGATTTCATCATTTCTTATGGCTGAGTAGTATTCCATTGTGTATATATACCACATCTTCTTTATCCATTTGTCCCTTGATGGGAACGTAGGTTGCTTCCAAGTCTTGGCTATAGTGAATAATGCCTCAATGAACATAGGGGAGCATGTATCTTTATGCATTTGTGTTTTCAAGTTCTTTGAATAAATACTCAGCAATTGGAACAGCTGGATCATATGGTAGTTCTATGCTTAATGTTCTGAGGAATCTCCATACTGTTTTCCATAGTGGCTGCACCAGTTTGCACTCCAACCACAGTATATGAGGGTTCCCATCTCTCCACATCCTCTCCAACATTTATTGTTTCCTGTCGTGTTAATCATTGCCATTCTGATGGGAGTGAGATGATATCTCATGGTAGTTTTTATTTGCATTTTCCTGAAAGTTAATGATGTTGAACATCTTTTCACATGCCTGTTGGCCATGTGTATATCTTCTTTGGAGAAATGTCTGTTCAGATCTTTTGTCCATTTTTTAACTGGGTTGTTAGTTGTTTTGTTGTTGAGATGTATGAATTCTTTGTATATTAACCCCTTATCGGATATATGGTTTGCAAATATCTTCTCGCACTTGTTATTTTGTTTTTCCTTTTGTTGATGATTTCCTTTGCTGTGCAGAGATTTTTGGTTTGATGTAGTCCCATTTGTTTATTTTTTCTATTGTTTCCCTTGCCCAGTCAGACATGGTACTTGAAAATATGCTGTTAAGACCAACATCGAAGAGTATACTGCCTATGTTTTCTTCTGGAACTTTAATGGTTCCAGGTCTCATATTCAAGTCTTTAATCCATTTTGAGTTAATTTTAGTGCATAGTGTAAGCTAATGGTCTACTTTCATTCTTTTGCATGTGGTTGTCCACTTTTCCCAACACCGTTTATTGAAGAGGCTTTTCTTTCTCCCATTGTATGTTCTTGGCTCCCTTGTCAAAAATTAGCTATCTATAGATGTGTGGGTTTATTTCCGGGCTCTCAATTCTGTTCCATTGATCTGTGTGTCTGTTTTTGTGCCAGTACCATGCTGTTTCAGTTACTATAGCTTTGTAGAATATTTTGAAATCAGGGAGTGTGATACCTCCAGCTTTGTTCTTTTTTCTCAGGATTCTTTTGGCTATTTGGGGTCTTTTGTTGTTCCATATAAATTTTAGGATTCTTTGATCTATTTCTGTGAAAAATGTTGGAACTTTGATAGGAATTGCATTGAATCTGTAGATTGCTGGGGAAATATGGACATTAGAAATATGATAATTCTTCCAATCCAAGAGCATGGACTATCTTTCCATTTCTTTGTACCTTCTTCATTTTCTTTCAACCATGTTTTATAGTTTTCAGTGTACAAGTCTTTCACCTCTTTGGTTAAGGTTATTCCTAGGTATTTTATTCTTTTTGTTGCAGTTGTAAATGGGATTGTATTCTTAATTTCTCTTTCTGCTAACTCATTTTAGTGTATAGAAACACAACTGATTTTTGTATGTGATTTTGTATCCTGCAACTTACTGTATTTGTTTATTATTTCTAAATGTTTTTCAGTGGGTTCTTTAGGGTTTTCTATATATAAAATCAGGTCATCTGCAAATAGTGACAGTTTCACTTCTTCCTTTCCAATTTGGATCCCTTTTACTTCTTTTCCTTGCTTGATTGCTCTGGCTAAGACTTCCAATACTATGTTAAAGAAGAGTGGTAAAAGCGGGCATCCTTGTCTAGTTCCCGTTCTTAGAGGAAGAGCTTTCAGATTTCTCCATTGAGAATAATATTAGCTGTGGGTTTGTCATATAAGGCCTTTATTATGTTGAGGTACTTTCCTTCTATACCCATTTTATTCAGAGTTTTTATCATAAATGGATGCTGTATTTTGTCAAATGCTGTCTCTGCATCTATTGAGATTATCATGTGATTTTTATTCTTCATTTTGTTAATGTGGTGTATCATGTTGATTGATTTGCAGATATTGAACCATCCCTGCATCCCTGGAATAAGTCCCACTTGATCATGGTGTATGGCCTTTTAATGTTGTTCTATTCAATTTGCTAGTATTCTGTTGAGGATTTTTGCGTTGATGCTCATCAGTGATATTGGCTTGTAATTTTCTTTTTTTGTGTTGTCCTTGTCTGGCTTTGGTATCAGGGTAATGTAGGCTTCATAGACTGAGTTAGGAAGCTTACCCTCCCCTTTGCTTTTTTTTTTTGAGGCGTTTGAGAAGGATATGTATTAAGTCTTCTTTGAAAGTTTCATAAAATTTACCAGGGAAGCTGTCTGGCTTTGCACTTTTATTTTTTGGGAGGTTTTTGATTACTGTCTCCTTACTTGTGATTGGTCTATTCAAATTCTCTATTTCTTCTTGATTCAGTTTTGGAAGGTTGTATAATTCAAAGAATTTATCCATTTCTTCCACATCATCCAATCTGTTGGCATATAGCTTTTTGTTCTATTCTCTTATAATCTTTTGTATTTCTGAGGTGTCTGTTGTAATTTCTCCTCTTTCACTTCTGATTTTATTTGAGCCTTCTCTCTTTTTTTCTTGGTGAGTCTAGCTAAAGGTTTATCAAATTTTGTTTACCTTTTCAAAGAACCAGCTCTTCGTTTCATTGATTTTTCCTATTGTTTTTTAGTCTCTATTTCATTTATTTCTGCTCTGATTT